ATAGTTATGTATTTGTGTATTATATACCTTGCATTACTGGAACACTTTAGAATATGAGAGGTTTAGAAGTTTAAAGTTTAGAAACTTTATTACAGTTTTCTGCTTGACATTAAAAACAGGTTCAGAAACATTAATCTTATTTCTTATTGTGAAATGAAAGATTCCACATAAGTAAATATTATAATGAACATTATCCTTTTACGTGGGCTTTTTTCTTTAATCAATTTTGATGGAAACAGTTCTAAATTTTATCACATAATTTTCTAATTTTTTAAATTGAGCAACTGAATATGTATATATGACTTCCTTAAGCTGAGTGTATGGAATATGAACATAGAACTTTAGAACTTTAAAACTGAATAGAATGAATATGTTCACAGTTGAATTTATTTTAAAAATTATATGTGTAAAAACTCAGCATTTTTGTGACAAATATTTTTTTCCCTGTTATTCTACATGAGGTGGTAGTTTGCACCTGACACTTAACAACTCTAGCTACCCTGCCTTTAAACTATCAGGTCTGCCTTCTAGCTTCCTTGATTTCTTCCTTGTGGTCAAATTATTCTTGTATCTGTAGGCTTGTCTTTAATGATTTAATTCCTTAGAGCTCCTTCTAATTGGTCTATCAAATCAGCTGTAGACAGAAATCAGGTTATTAGCACTCTATGTAATCTAGGAGTAAATGGGCTTCAAATAAGAGTTTTGAGGATTTTCTCCAGACTTGAAACACATGAGATGTAGCACTTGGATTTTGTTAACATTTATTCTGCCCACTTGAAATCCCTTTCTTAACTCTTTCAAGATAGCTGAGTTTGCCAGAGAACTGATTTCTAGATAATGAGATACTCCTTTGCTTAATTTCTTCTTTTCAGAATGGAAATAATCGCTCTATTAATAGATATCTTAAAAGCTGCTTGGACAGAAATGTTTAAGTATACTGTTTGATAGTCTGTTTGGGAACAAAAATTCCATTCCCTAATTAGAGATCCCATATAGGAAAGGACTTGGTATACGGTGAGCACACAATAAATGCTAGCTAAACTGGACTTTAAGTTGAAATGTGCAATTTGATAAAATACAAAGTATAACATTTCCAATTTTAATTGGTGCTTAATGTGCCAACATAAAAACAAAAACACAATCACGGAAAAATACACTAAGAAGATGAAATGGGACAAAAGTCTTTTTATTTTAATCACATGATAGTCTTTGTTTTGTAAAAATTACACAGTGATGAAAATACTAAGCACAATTCAAAATTTTTGGTTAACTGGAGTGGGGGATGAAAAATAATGAAGATAAAAATTCTAGGATGAGAATAAAAGGCTATATCTTTTACTTTTACAAATAAGTCATTATAAAATTATGTTAGCTTGTCACCCTCTCTTTGTTGAGTGTTTATCAAATGGAATTTCCAACAAGCTGGATATCATATTTAATCTCATGGAATGTACACCATCTGACACACCAGAGTGTTAACAAATATTAAATAATGATAACAAAAGTCAGTGAACAGAAATGGCACTGATAATTTTACAGACCAAATAGATAATATAGAAAAAGAAAAAATAGAGGAAAAAAAAGATAATAGAGGTCCTTAGACTTACCCAAGCAGTGTGCTCTTTCAAGTAACAACCTTTGTACTCAATGGTATTAGGATGCTTCAACTGTCGTAAAAATTTAACTTCCTTAAGAATATCTTGCCATTTCTATTGAGTCAGAAAGGAGATGTTTTAATTTTT